CTGCCCCTTCCCAATTGCCCTCTGGGGAATGGGCAGAAGTTGGAAAAAATCTTAGATAACTTTAACTTCAAAAGCTACTAGATCTAGTTACGTATTTCATTAAAAAAAAACAAAAAACGTGTAGTACTGTCGTGTTAGCCACTAAGTTCAAACCAGAATGTAGGCTATTAACTAAACATATTAGCGTTTTTTTTAGCCACCCTTCTGATTTGAACAGAATATTACACCCTTGTGCCACGGTGAGGCCCAGCACTTCCGACTTCCACAAGGGAGGGAATGGGGAGGGGCCGTTTTGAGTTGTGGAAGACAAAATAAAAATGTGCTTTTACAAGTGAGAAAAAGAAAGAATATTTTTGGTTCTGAAGTTTTGTTCCACGCCTGATACCTAATGAAACCGTCGCGGTAATAAGAAACCAAAACTAGAATGAAAACAAAAACACTTTGTAAAGGTTGAGAAGAAAATACCTAAGGCTATTGTGAGTGGGTATATTATTGTCAGCTCAATAAGGCAATTCTACATTCACAAGCATCTTCCAAAAAGCATGGATTTGTTTCTCACCATCATATCTTGAAGTGTCCCCAAAGAAAGCCCAATGTTATACCTTTGTTAACTTAACCATGAGTTATCAAAGAGAGACATTTGTAGACAAATCAAATAAAAGAGTTGTTGATCATCATAAATTGCATTGGTACGTTTAGAGTTGGATAGCAATAAATCTTATAACCAGAACAGTCAGAACAATCAGACCACAAAGAGCTTAAACTAAATAATTCAAATGAAACCTCACCTGGTCCACGTAAAGTACATCATTGTTTGGACCTAAAAATTGTTGCAAACAAGGTGGCCCAAACGGAATTGATCTAAATGAAAAAAAAAGCGAAAATGATAGACATCAATAAATTCAAAGAAGATGTTATTTTAAGAATTGTGAGGAAGAAATAGCAAGAAAGCAGTTTTAAATACGACGGAGCCAGGAGAAGAGAACGAGAATTTAAATTGCATCATAGAAACTGAAAACGATGAATTTTATCTTGAAAGCACATATAGATCTATATTGCAATGATAGAAAAAAAAAATGCTAAGAATTCGGATAGGTGGACACCTAATTTGTTAATTTTTATGGTCGTAGACTCTAGATCTATGTGTCCTATTCTCATTTTGATTTCATTCTGTTGTGAAACCTCTATTTTACATGTTTTTACACTCTATGAGGCTACAAATGATATTCTTTAAAACAGAGCACAAGAAAATATAGGCCTACGACAAGGCTTTCTCAGTTACAACCAATCGAAACAAACAAAAACAATTAATTTTTTTCCTCAAGGTAGCCTCTACTGGTAGCTCATCAGTATTTCTCGCATACTGTTAATCCATCTTCACCTTTCAACCTTGTTAAAGGGTTAACTTAAAGTGATTTAAAACATATTTTTCATTTATTATAGCTTAAAAAAATATTAATAATACGACACAGTTTATCTTCTGCGGACAAGCTTTGCGTTTGATGGAAACCCAGGACCGTCCTGTCCCATTTCTTTAAAATAAACACCAAAATATGAACGAATTTAGGATATGAACAATGAAACAGTAGGGCAACGATAGGCCTAGAGGATTTGCGTAACTGTGCCGTCGATCGCCGACCTTGTAATTTGTTGTATCAACTGTATTACCCTTTGATTGCCACAATCTGCTATGAAAACTTATACGGCGAACAAGAATAGGATTAATAAGAAAAAGAATAAGACTAAGACTTAAGGATAAGAATAAGACTACCTATAATAATGAGAATAAGAAGAAAGGGGTAATAATTTATTATCGATGTAACCAAATTAATTAATTAAATTGCCGTTATCATAGACGGACTGCACAGAATTCTACACTTAAGTGTAGAATTCTGTGACGGACTGTAAATTCTTGTTTGCAAAAGTTTAGAATTCTGTGCTTCCCTCCAAGGAGATAAAAGTAACACTTCCTAAAAGGACCCTCCACAGAATTCTACACTGTGTAGAATTCTGTGGGACCCAAGGAGCTTAGAAGTACTTTTAATCTCCTTGGTGGGACCAGAGAGTATAGTATAATACTCTGGTGGGACCCCAGCACAGAATTCTACACTAGCCTAAGTGTAGAATTCTGTGGGTGGACCCCAGACACCGTAAATACCTTTTTACAGAAAAGAGCTTATATTTGAGTTCTTCAGTGTTTGAAGGAAGAAAGTATTAAAATCAAGGCTTCCTCTCCTCCGAAACACACCAAACACCGATCATCAAGCGATCATCATGCCGAAAGACGTTTCAGGTTATTTAACTGAGCAACAGCGTAAAAGCTCAGGAGATGTGGCGGCTGAATGGGGTCAAATCGAAGAACTTTACAATAAAAAGTAAGTGTGGCTCAGTGAGAAAGAAGAAACGTAATGTCAGTGATTAGAAGAAAGAAACTTCAAAATAGATCTACTGCTGACATGACTCAACACAATAGAGTACAGTGTAGAGTCTACAGTAGAAGCGCAGGCTTCTCTTGTTGATGTTATTTATTTTGAATTCGATTCTTTGACTTAGCTCTTGATCTGGTCTAGTTTCTAGATGTGTTTAGGACATTTTTAATGAGCACTGCTGTAGGACCAACACAGGAAAATTGTACTTTTCAGTGGTACAGGCCTCGCCACAGTCCACGGGGCATAGGACAGGGCAGGCGTGAAAAAAGTGCTCTGCTCTGCTATAGGGGAGGACATCCATGAGCGACCGCAATGAGACAGAGTAGAATAGAGGGGTAAGGGTTAGGATTAGGTTTCTCCTTTTTATTGTGGGCCACCTCTATTCTCACCCGGGATGAGAATAGTGCAGGCTAGTCTTTTGGCTATTCTCACCCGGTGCGCGTTCACTGTTATAGCCTAGATCTAGGCCAACAAATTTTGCGTTCACCCTAAACCACAGAATTCTACACTGTGATATAACAGAAAAATTGTAGAATTCTGTGCCGTGAACAAACGTTCCATTACAACTGTAGCCTACTAAAAGCGTACAATTTTGTATGTGGGCAGTGGAGAGAGAGAGAGAGAAAGAGACAAGAGAGAGGAGTAGCGTGAGAACTTCCGGTCAAAACAAAATGGCGACCCGCGTAGTTCTGTTCGATTCGAAAAGTTAAATAGCCGTAGCATCTTTGTAGACAACCGAATTAATTTACTTTTGTGTTTTAACATCATTTTTTAACTTTGTTTTGGTCAATTTGATCGTCCACACCGATAGACAGTATTCAGAAAGAGACAGAGAGAGAGAGAGAGGGGAGGAGTAGATCTTGCGAGAACTTCCGGGCAAAACAAAATGGCGACCCGCGTAGTTCGGCTCGATTCAAACAGTGAAATAGCCATAGCATCTTTGAAGACGATCAAATTAGCTTACTTTTGTGCTATAACGTAATTTTTTCTTGGCTTTTATCAATTTGATCATCCACACCGATAGACAGTATTCCAAAATGAGGAAAAGCAGGTCTTGTTTCGCACCGGGTGAGAATAGCCTATGCTGGCAAGTCTCACCCGGGGTGAGAGGTAGATCGTTTTTCTATTCTCACCCCGGATGAGAATAGCCACTTCCTTTATTGTGATTGTGGCGCTTTTTCGGTAGTTCCCACCCCGCATTTGTTATTCTTCGGTTTTGGCCCCAAGCCCAAGAGCAGGGGGGTTTCAGGGGGGCTTGCCCCCCTGACCTAATAAAAACAAGATGGGGGGTTTCAGGGGGGCATGCCCCCCTGAATTTTACCACAATTTAATGTTTTGCAGTTGTTAGGTTTGACATCTTAGCTTGCCGCGAATCAAACGTATATAGATCTAGATGTAGGTCAGGCTCTATCAAATAAGGGGGGTGGGAACTACCGAAAAAGCGCCGTGATTGTTGAGGTGGTCGCTCGTTACAGAAGTAGGCTATTTCCGCTAGATTGCTAGATTTCTATAGAATATAGATCTAATCTAGATCTATATAGCAATGACAATGAAAAATTAAATTTTCATCCAAATTGCTTAAAAAAGGAAGTAGCTATTCTCACCCGGTGTGAGAATAGAAATACGATCGACCTCTCACCCCGGGTGAGACTTGCCACCGTAGGCTATTCTCACCCGGTGTGAAACAAGACCTGTTTTTCCTAATTTCGGAATACTTTCTATCGATGTGGATGATCAAATGGATAAAGGCAAAGAAAAGATTACGTTATAACACAAAAGTAAGCTAATTTGATAGACTACAAAGATGCTCTATGGCTATTTCACTTTTCGAATCGAGCCGAACTACGGGGGTCGCCATTTTGTTTTGCCCGGAAGTTCTCGCAAGATCTACTCCTCCCCTCTTCTCTCTCTCTATCTCTTTCTGAATACTGTCTATTGGTGTGGACGATCAAATTGACCAAAACAAAGTTAAAAAATGATGTTAAAACACAAAAGTAAATTAATTTGGTTGTCTACAAAGATGCTACGACGGCTATTTAACTTTTCAAATCGAGCCGAACTACGCGGGTCGCCATTTTGTTTTGCCCGGAAGTTCTCGCGCTACTCCTCTCTCTCTCTTTCTCCCTCTCTCTCCACTGCCCACAGACAAAATTGTACGCTTTTATTAGGCTAACACTAACAGTAGTAATGTAACGTTTGTTCACGGCACAGAATTCTACAATTTTTCTGTTATCACAGTGTAGAATTCTGTGGTTTAGGGTGAAAGCAAAATTGGTTGGCCTAGATCTAGGCTATAACGGTGAACGCGCACCGGGTGAGAATAGCCAAAAGACTCGCCTGCACTTTTCTCACCCGGGGTGAGAAAAGAGGCGCCTAATGAAAATAGAGTAAATTCTAAGAACTGTAGTTTTTAGATTTTAAAAATCCATTAATAAATTAAACAGTTATTGGGATTTTTGTTTGCAAAATGTTGGAGGACCTTCATATAGGAAAAAAATCGCTTAAATGTGGGACGTCTTGATGTATTTTGAGGAAAAACTGTTCATAAATCAGTAATGAATTGGAGCATATGAATGAAACTTGGCATCTTCATGTGATTTTTAGTGCAGAATCTAATTCTGCTATCACTTTTTTCGATGTCTTTATTACTTTGGATCTTAAAGACTGATATTTGCGAGAAATTTGTTGAATTGCGTGACATCGTTTTTACCGCGACGTGATCTCCCCTTCTAAAACTCAGTAAAGCGCTGTCGGGAAAACCTGCGATGTAGTCATCGGTGACCTATATAGTTATAGGCAGCCAATCACATGCCGCCTAGCGATCACGCGCCTCTTGCATGCCGGCACCTCGCGTTTGGAATGCGTGATCTAGTTTCCAGCTCTAGTGTTTTATCAATGGATGGGTAGTAATTTTAAGTTGTTAGTTAAAATCTACTTAACGCAGAGATCTGAAATTTTACAACATTAAAGAAGACATGTGGGGCGCTTGTGTGGTCGGTGACCAACCCGCAGCTCCGCTTAGTTTTCGAACGGCAGAGGAAATTCGCACAAATACAGCAATATCTCCGGGTCTAGTAATCGTTCGGGATTGTGCGCTGGCATGTCGTTAGTTTAACCTTTCCTCTGATTGGTTGCCGAGTTTCATTTATTTTCGTCCAGGAGTTTTCCCGTAACTATACTTAGAAGAGAGTCACTTCCGATTCCGAGCGGCCCAAAAATTACCCGTCGCGCGGAGGCCGATTTCTGGCGCAAGGCGCAGCGGGCGATTGGCATTGCTACTATATATGACTCAATATATACTGAACTTGAACATTAGACAAGGTAGGTGAGAAAGTGATTATAACACTTAAAGTAATAGTACTATATTAGCCCTACTAGCAAGCCTTCATATGTGAAGTCTAAGTTCAGTCGTTCATTTCCAAAGATAGGCCTGAGCTTCAGGAGACTTGTAAACCATGTGTTATTAAAAAGTGTGATTTTAGTTGCTAGGATTATAAACTTTGATTTTAAGCATACTGTTTGTGTTGATGTTGGCTATGTTGAGTTGGAATGTTTGAAGTAAGTGTAGTTTTGACTTGACGGTGCCACCTTTTGAGCTTCCTAAGTACTTCATCTGTCAACCTTTCTTTTCTTTGTTTAGGTTGTGGCATCAGCTGACATTGAAATTGCTTCAGTTCGTGAAAAATCCCATATTTGCCAGAGGAGATGGACTGCTTCGGGTAAGTGGGAGCCAAGGGAGTCCTCTGGATTGTTGATGAGTGGTTGATAACCTTCAAGAATTAATATATTTTGGTACCAAGGTTTCATTACTTGCGACAGAGTGACGCTGTGACAACTAATGTGGCGTTAATTGTAACAGAGTGATCACGGAACTCTTTTAACGTTGATGATTAGAATCTAACATCATTTAGATCTACCATTAGGCCTAGTATCTAATCTCCTCCTGACAAGGAAGGCTTTCTAGAGCAGGCATTCAAATCTTATGACGAATTTGACAAAGCTTTTCTAAGTTTAAAGATGAACATTTTGTTGTCTTTAGGAAGAAATCATCTGAAACTTGAGAAGGTGAGCTTAAAATGTGTGGCAAAAATCTACAAAGACTTTCTGTACAGTTATAAGTAGAGTTGACTTTATCTGTAAACATTATAGACAGCCCAAATACTGAAGCAGCAAATATTACAACAAAACATCGGCAGCTTACAACAGCAACAAAAACCACTAGGGGCAACAACACAACAACGGCTGTCTTTGTTAGTTTGATGTGTGTGTGTGTGTGTACGCGCGCACGTATAAGGCCACAAGCATGTGCGGTGTGCATTTGTGTATGTGCATGTGTATTTGTGTGTGTGTGTGTGTGTGAGAGAGAGAGAGGGTGTGTGTGTGCACGTGTGTGTGTGTTATTCTTTTTTCTTATTAACTTCTGTTTTTGTCTCTGACTCACTCTGTCTAAATTAACACTGCATTAATTGTCGGAGTCACAATAAACGCCACGTTAGTTGTCACAGCGCCACTCTGTCGCAATTAGCGCTACGTTTGCAAATATCTCTGTACCCAGTTGTTGAAAGACAAAATAAATCTGTATTACTACGAAAATAAGTGCGTGGTGGTAGTGTTACACAGCATATTATCTAATAGTCGAAGTCATACCAGTGGGTGGTTGGCGGGTGCTCTGGTGTGGTTTGTTTCTTTTTTTCCTATCAAACATCTATCGTCCTTATCTCCCCTTTTTCTTTTTTATGTTTGTTACTCTCTTGTAACACCTCTAATCTTCTGGCGCTCATATGACCCTATGCAGTTGCAAGCGCCGCAAAACCCTCTACTAAAACTAAACTAAAGAAGTCATACCGTCAATGAAAATGGAATTTCACTTTGTCCGATGTGAAGAAAATGCCAATGTAATTTTCTAACTCTTTGGCAAAAAACATTTTTAGTATTAATTAGTATTAAACAGTTTCTGCTAATTTGTAGCAATGCCAATTGGGCTTGCGTACATGACAAAATTTTGGTCCCAGCTTACGGGCGTATTTTTTTGACCGGATCAGAGCGTAAGTGGCCAACTTTCTCTAACACAGTCTTCTCTATGTTTGGACTAATCAGTGGCGGTGAGTAGTGAAGGGCTCACGGGCTTGAGCCCCTACCACCTCCCCACCCACCACCCCCAACTCTATACCAAAGTAAACCAAGGTTTCTCCTTAAGAAATAAGCAGTTGAAACTGTTATGACCACACACAGTGAACACGAAGTGATCAACTCGGCGGCTTGGTCGTTTATCTAATCATTGTTGTCATCGCTTACAACTATAGTAACCCAGCAGCCAATCAAATGTCTTTAGGGCTCAGCAAGGGATGAGCCCTTTCTCACGGCCCGTCCTTAATGAAACTCTTCTTGTAAAAAAGGTAACAGACTTGAAAAAATAATACTGCAACGAGAGCTCATGCTCTCCTAGCCCTGACAATGGGGTGAAAGTTTACGACACACTTTCCCCCAGTGACACAAATAACTATGCGCTAAGAACAAAGAGATGGAAAACAAAGGTAACTCTTCTCGTTTGAATGGTTCTCTAAATGCCGTGGCTCACCGTGAGTCAGTATAGAAAAATCATCACATTTTAGTTCTTATAGCTTGCTATTTGGTGATAAAGAACTGTAAGCAACCTAAGCCCCACCCAAATTTTGGTCCACCCACCGCCACTGGGACTAATATGATATGAATGAAACTTACAGCCAATCAGAAAATAGGGCAAACTAATGATATCTGGACGTAATCTTTAGTGTCGGAAACACTTTCATAGCAGATATTCGGTAAACTATAAGGAGCTTGATTTACAACATCAACAAGGTAAGAGATCTATCTTTCCTTTAGAGTGTCCTCAATTATGGAAGTGCTGTGTTAAGTAGTTGTATAGAATTTATCGTAAATGTACCACTACCCCTCTGTCCAAAGCGGCTTCACACAGAGATCGGCCATTTTTCCACACTCGGCAAATCTGTGTGACCTACAAATCCTGGCATGATTATTCCGAGCTCGTTCATTGGTCACTTGAAATGGGGCATGGCCCGGTACGCGCATCTGGTTGTTTTTCTCCCTGTTCCCATGTTACATCGTAATAGTAGGGGGTTAGTGTATCAACAGAAAAAAGAAAGCTTTCTAATTGTAGGACATGTTAGAATCAATTGAATTATATTTTATGATTGGCATATGTCTAAAGTCATCAAAGAAAGTTTTGCCATTATTTAGTCATGCTTGCAACATGTTCTGAAAGATCCCATGATGTGATATGGTGAGCATTAAAAATGCTGTTGTCCCAACGCCCCTTTTTCTCAAAATAGTAATATATGTAAACTAACATTTTAATTACAATAAAATAACTACAATATGGTAAAGTAAATCTGACTGCAGAAATGAATTCTCCGTCCTAAAACGCATTGGGCTGCCAAGTTTCTTTCAAATGCTCCAATTACAGAGATGTCAATTTTCTTACAGAATCTGTTGTTACCTGGTCCACTTTTTAGGATGAGTATTTTCCTATACAGGTTATCCATGTTTTGCAGTACTTTACAACCCCATAACTTTTTAAATCATGAACCCATTTTTGTTATATTCAAAAAGCTAATTCTTAGAATAGAGAGCCCTTTCTAAGTACCAAATGAAAAAGGGCTAAAGCGAAAAATTCAATTTTCCATTGGCATTGCTGGCTAATGGGTTTCTCCTGATTTTGATAAAATCTTTCTCCTCAGCTGTACTATTACAGCTCTTCAGAGATTTTCTTAATCTGAGGATTAGATTGCTCTTCATTTGTAATAGACTCCCATCTGTTCATCTTCTCTATTATTTTATGCCAAGCATTTTAAAATTGCTTGTAGTTAACATGTTAGGTTAGCTGAACATTAAAGCTTTTCTTATAATGCTCTTGCTTCGTTGTAGGTTATATCAGGTTGAGAGAAGAGTGAACGTTTTTAAAATCTCTCAACTTGCCAGAGGGGGGGCTGTCATAAAACCTTTACACTGTTGAACTTTTCCTGTAATATTAGGAGAGAAGCAAATTCGAAATATAGACACTTATAACATAATTATTTTTGAAAATTATTGGTTAGTGTAAGAGTAAAAAGTGTTGTAAATTGGATAGTGTGCTGAATAATTTTTTTAGACCCAGCTCAGCCAAGTACCTGTTAGATCAGGGATATCAATCAATTGCTCCTCTTACCCCAACCCTGTGCAAAGGGTTAACATTGTGCCAAGTGCTTAATTTTTCTTCTGTTCTGTATATTTTGTTATTGGGTTATAGTACAAAGAGTCATCATGAGCACATGTAACCATTCAAACTTTGGCCTTTGCTTTCAGTTGTACGAGAATTTCCTCTCTGACTTTGAGCACAGGTAAGTACTTTTATTTCTTTACACTCACCTTCCTTTGTGGTTTGAGAAATAATGTGTTATATCTTGTGCAAATTGTCTCCATCTAGTTATTTTTGCATACACCGTAGTTACAAAACTTTCCTTTTCATACAGAACATTCAGTGCAACCATCTTTCTTTATTCATTTTTAGAATACTGTATGCCTGTACAAATTAGTTGTTTGGAAAGGAGACAATGTGACCTTCACCTTCACGCCAAAAGTTTTGAAAAGTTGTGCAGCTTGTATGTTCCTGTGTAGTTACATGAGTTTATATCTCTATATTATTCTATTTCTTAGTCACAACAAAAAGTTGATCAAGTTTCATGCCCCAGGAAGCCAAACTTACACTATAAACATTTCTCAAAGCTGCATCTGATATTTACTGAAGGAATAGCAAAATAAAAAGGCTTTCTTCTCTGGTTTGTTCCCCAGAATTAACCCGCTATCATTGGCAGAGCTGTGTGTTTTGGTAGTAAGACAGATCCCAGGTGAGAAGAGTTATTGCAGTTTTATATACACATTGAGAAGTTTATGTAGATTGGTCAATGGTTAACAGTGTTAATTTGTACAGCCCATTCTGTGCTGAAAACGGATGTCCAGATTGCTGACAGCTGGTCATGAATTTCAATGAGTTTGCACTTGAGGATGCTTTCTTGAAATAAAATGTGTTTTTTAAAATCATAACTGTTTGCTTAATTAACAATGGCAGCCCATTTATTAAATTCCTATGCATTTGGTACCTTCTAAAGGGTAAGGATGATTATTGACTCTTGCTCTGACACAAAAATGTTTCTCTCAAAATGGAATTTTGGATGTAGCCAATGTTAGTGACATATTTTTATCATCATAGCCAAGCTTACCTCTGGGGAAATTCTGTGAGAGAAGGGATGTTGTCTGACCAGCTGGACTGAAGCTCTTCGTCCTTTTGGGTTAACAGAAAAATGGTTGATAGGTATCTGGCTGTTTATTTTGGAGATGTGTTTTCTGAAAGAGTGTCTTTTGCTCTCCCTGAGGCGTCTACGTGCCTCAGCTCGAGCTTTTCAATTCGGTATGCAATTTTGTTTACTGTAGTGCTATTGTCGACGGCTCTCCAATGTGCTGCCTTCTTTTTCTTTTCAACATTATCACACTCCTAAAAGACCCAGACTTGTTCGTGTGCGGTTGACGGGTGCTCTGGTGGAGTTTGCTCTTTCTTTCCTGTCAAACATCTATCGTCCTTAATATGTCTCCTTCTTTTTTGTTTGTTACTCTCTCGTAACACCTTTAATCTTCGGCACTTATATGACCTTATTGTGTTGCAAGTGCCGTAAAACTCTTATGAAAAAAAAAAGACCTTGTTCTTCCACAGGCTGGAGATGTTTTTGGAATGTATTTATGAAATATTTCTAGAAGCGTTTTATGAAATTTGTTGTAGTTGAGGCCAAATATTTGGAGTGAGAAAAATTGAAAAATGGTCCCAATGGAAACAAGACCATTACCTTTTGTTTTGTGTCACCTTGACAGACTCTGCACAGGCAATTGAATTCCTGGAAAAGGTAAAGGAGAAAGTCAAAGCCAATGAAGAGGCCAAGGTCCTAGTCATGACCTCCATAGGGATTATCCACCTGCGCAACAAGGATTTTCCTCCTGTCAAGGTCAGTTGTGTTGTGAACATGGGTTTTGCAAGATTGCAGTTAAAAGAAGCTAGAAAAATACCCTGCATTGTTCTAAGGATTTAGTAATTGGCTCCATTAGCCTCCATGTGCTATAGTATTTCTTGTACTTTGTTGAATAATCCAGGGTCATTCCTTGTTAATTTTATTTTATTTTATTGTATTTGTAAATTGTACATTTTTAAAAGTACTTTCCACCTTTTGTAGAGGGAAATAATTTTAAGTACCGCTTTCTGGATGATGATCTGAAATGAGTGAAATACTGTTATCCATTCTGTGTTCGTTTGCATCAGTATTGGGATTGAAAGATGCTAAAAATGTTCAATCATATGAGTCAAGGAAAGGAACTTTCTCCACAGGCTCTAATGGAAGAATGTGAAAAGATTCTTGAAGACATTGATGGCGTTACAACTGTCCATGGTCGCTTCTATGAACTTACCAGCAACTACCACAAGCTGATGGGGAACCATGCCCGCTACTATCAGGAGGCTCTGCGTTTTCTTGGCTGCACTGACCTCAAGGTGCTTGTGTTGAAAGTTTTTGAAATCACTCTGTATTAGTTAATTAAGATATAATTGTTGTAGCTATTTTGTCAGAATTATTCTTATTCCTTGTGGTTCTATTTACCTCAAATTTCCCCCACTGATCATGAATGCTAATTTTGGTCAAATTTTATAAAATGGCTAAAAAAAAAAATCTCCCATAATGCTACATGGATTTTCTCATAATCTCTTGCTTTGGTAGTAATTTTTCTTTTCAAAGGTCTTCTGTTTTTATCCCTCATCTGTTCATGCTATCTTGAAAAATATTTCAAACTGGCAGCCATGTGGTAAGAAGGTTTCAGGCTTCTCTTTTGATTGTGATTTGCTTTGCAAAGATGCCAACCAGTACGATTTTACGTATTTTAGTACGATTTTTTTGCCGAAAATATGCGAAAAATACGAGATTCAGCTTGGGCGAGTAATCCTAATTATCTCAAGTCCCATCTTTTGTCAAAATAGTATCAGTATCGCAGAACTGGAATATTTGAAAACCATGTCCGATAAGGTCAGTAAGTTCATTTTTGCCAGTCGCGATCGTGATATTATATTCGTTCAGCTTTTCCCCATCCGGAGAGTACATTTCACTTTCACGCGAATAGGCAGCTATGGCGGCAGGCAGAAGCGTTTGTGACACTGAGGCTCGATCGGGAAAATCAAGATCTACTTTCGCTTTCGTTACCACCAAGAAGTTTGCCAGCAGTTGTCTGATAACACAACATTTGTGACATGCAGGTTGTGCAGTATAAACGCAATGTCGCCGTGCAAATAAAATTTAATAAATGCTCGGACTCGTCTCTGTGCTGTCGCTTGTGGAAAAAAAAGAAAAGAAAGTACAAGTATCGTCTGATTTTTAGATTGTCTAGCTGGCCATCGTGACCGGTCACTGAACTTGCTCGCATTCGCATCATAAATAAATGCGGCATCGTGTGAGTAAGGACCGTCTTTGGTGGGAGTAACGGCGTTGCGAAGTATAGGACTACGGAATAGGGGAGGAGATTATTGATTTTTTTTTTTTGGTTTAAGATACTATCGGGGGGTGGGGGGTTTAAGGCAACACCAGAGGACAAAAACTTGGAAGGGCATTTCAGAATTTTCATTAGAGCTTTCTGCAAAGCGCGCGTTGGTGCAGGCCGTGTGCGGAATCTGGACCCTTCATACTTTGCCAGTCTGTGTTCTTGAAATAAAGTGTTTGCGTTTTATTGGGTGGGTGACAGTAAATTATACCTACAGTGTATGTTGTAGCTTTCTGTTTAAGACTGGCAGATTTTCAGTGTCACTGAATCTTGTGGCGTCGGTAGCCTAGTGGTTAGGCTGCCGGACTCGTGAGCGTGAGATTGCGGGTTCGGGGGTTCGAGCCTCAGCTCGGTCCGACGTTGTGTCCTTGGGAAAGACACTTTACAGGAACTTCCCACTTGGCTCGGTCCTATAGGAGACGGACGTTAAACTAGGAGGTCCTGCCCCTTAAATAACCTAATAGTGTTGATAGGGGCGTTAAACCCATACCATTTCACCATTTCACTGCATCTTGCCCTCCTACAGTTGTTACAACTCTCACAGTGCACGGGTCTACTTGAGCCATTCATTTGTGAATAGCATCTAAAACTGGTGGTTCAGTGATTTTCCTTCCATCCCGGGGTAGGAGATAAAGCAGTGGCTGTAGGTGCAATGCTACAAACCAAAAACCCAACTCCATCACAGAGAGATTGTTAGAAAAATGAATGGGTATGATGGTGTCTGTTGTATTATATTGAGAAGTTTTTTGAGGAGATAAAGAAGAGAAAGACGCTATTAAGAGCATAGTTGCTGTGTGTTGCTGGAGTACAAAAATTATAATATAATAATAATAATACCAATTGGAAGCTAGCTTTTCCCCCCTCCCAGAGCAATCATGTCCTCTCATCCGAGAGATGGGGGCAGGGGAAGTCATGGCAGATCTCAGAGGGTTAATGTTGTCAACAAGCAAGACGTAAATGGTCTTTGCACCTTCTCCGCAGTCATACGGCTCTCCGATAAGTGCATGCTTAATACATGTATGTAGCTGGGTATTCCTTATGTAAAGTCACATCCAGTACAGTGCTGACAATGAGCCTCTGCTTTCCACCCCACCAATACCCGTCCCAACTCCAGGTCAAAGAAAGGTTGTCGATGGAGAGAGGAGAAAAGAAAAGTTAATAAATGTAATAAAGTAAAACAATAAATAGAAAGAGTAAGATACATAGTAAAGCAATGTGTCTCTTTTCGGGGTCACCCCTTGACCCGTTAGCTTCCTCTTTTTCTTTTCCTATTCGAAGAGTACTAATTAGGCCAGGGCAAGATCGACTCTGGGATCGATTCTTTCGAGTCCAAATGAGGACTCAAAGAATCGATCTTGTTCCCAGACTCTAAGCTTCGAGTCCGCCCAGAGTCGACGCCTCCCGTCTCCTTTTTTTAGCCTGGTTCCTAGCCTAGACTCCGAGAATCGAGGCAAGAATCTAAATCTCTACCGCACTATTACAGTCCTTTTGTGGGATAGGCCTAGGGCTGTCCCACCCCACAGTCGAGTTTTTTGCTTCAAAACAGACACCGCACCAGGACGGGACTGATCCGGCGCATAAGGCGGCTTCTTTGATGTTGGCCTAGGCGGAGTTAAAAATGCATTCCAAAATTTTTTTAAATATTGGCCAAATTTAAGAAATAATAAGATTTTCGTGATCAGCGACCCAAAATTAGCAAAAAATACGTGGAGAACCCATTTTAATGCCCGATTACCAAGTTAGATTAATTTTTGTGAGTTTTGTTTACTTATGTTTTTTTTTCACTATTTGAATT